CCGCTAAGTGGTATGGAAGGTAGCCAATCTCCGGAGGTGACTTCTGAGAATCGTAGCATACTGTCCAGGCGAGCAAATCAATAACCTAACAAATTAATTACACAATCAGAACATATTTAATAAGTTTTAACATTTTCTACTTTCTACTTAGCACGCCAACCCATTCCGTAGGCTTCAACGTTGCAACGTCGTATACACTAGCGAATTGATTTCCCATTGAGATTACAGAATATCTGTATGAATCATTAGGATTAATATGTTGTCATGAAATATTAAATATAACTCACAAAGCAATATTTCACTTACTCCGATTCTAACTCACATTCCATAAATAATCACAAATTGCAGCTTCGATGTCATCAATTCCGCTTGGAATATCCGCTTTTCAATCTACAATTTTGCATACAAATTTTGTCACAACAACATAATAAAATCAAATTAAGTTTTTTTATTCAACTTACTTCTTCTTCTCTGGGGTGCAGGACATCCGAATCCAAATCTGTGCTATAACACTCCGGTGATAAATGACACGACTTCCTTCCTCTCATTTCTTCCATCTCTTCTTCTTCCTCCCCTTTTTCTTCATATTTTTTCAGTCATCATATTTTTTCTACATAGCTCTTCATCTCTTTTATTTCACCTTCAATTGATCTCCTTCATCCAAGTATTTATCAACCACCCCCTTCACCCCTGTAAGTCACTCCTCATTCCACAACCTCCTTCACCACTCCCTTAATTTTTCACCCGTCGCCATCTTAATATCACCCTTAACCCCAACTTCTTTCACCACTTCACCCTCAACACCTCTACTTCTTTTACCACTCCATGTATTTTTCCTTCCACTACCCCCTTATGCCTCTCAAGTGTATCTTAGACTCTCAAGTTTCTCTTCGACTATCAAGTTTCTCTTCGACTCTTGATTGTTTGATGATATCAAATTGGATTTTTTTGATATCAGCCAATTCAGACATCAAAATGTCGAAGTTACTATATTTCCCTCACCGGTCGTCCCATCACCGTCATCCCTAATACAACCATCTCTCTTCTCCTCTACCTCCTCTACATCCTTGCCAATAACCTTCAAAATTAATTACAATATTAAGACATTGATTATTATTAATATTATTTAATTATATTATTACACTTTGCTTCTTCGCTCTATCCAACTTTAATTCACTCAACTCTAACCACCTCTTCCTTCCCCATACACGATGCGTGCCACTCTGGTTCTTTCATAAGCCGGCACTGCCTCACAGCCCGACCAAAATCGAACAGTGCAACCTGCATTTATAATAAAATTTATTTTTATATAAAAACACAAAAAAGTCTTCAACTCATTTACCTCTAAGATTGCTATGCACCATTTGAGGTATCTCTGGCTGCCCTTTTTAAAGGTGATTATTGATTCAATCAATCTCGAATGGATATATTCAGCCCAATTGAATTCACCCTTCAAGCCTTCATCGCAAATGAGCTTCATATGTTCCTTGTTCGTTGACGTATGACCCGATGGACAAAGAAAGATACCGACAAGGTATAATAGAACTCTGGCCTTCAGCTCATCCCCAACGTAAGATCCACTTTTATTCCTCTTCAATTTCAGCATATGTCACCTTCTGCTTCAAACCATATTTGGAGGCAAGTGCTTTCCAGTCCTTACTCTTACAGACTTCTACAACACTTTTGCCTTCATTTTTACCCCCAATACGCTGCGCACATGGGATCCGAGAGGAAATGAAAAATCACCATACTTAGCAATACATTGTCTGAAATCAAATTGTGCCATCAAGGATCGACACAATTCCCTCCGAATAGGTCGATCCCTACTCCTACCAACGATCCAAAACCTATTTCTCCCAGCACATTCAACTGACCCTTCTCCTTAAGGTGTTTAATAATGAATTCACCCTTTTAATGCTGCATCTTGTCGACACTTCATACATTTTTTAACAATAAATAATGTTATAGTTCTTATATATTTTGTATCAAGTATTTACAAGTTTAATGAATACCTTATTTTCATGTGTTTCCTTCGTTCTTTGTATTCTTTACTATCATTCCTTGACTGTGTGATGTAAGGTTCCTTTTCAGCATCACTCATTGAATTCCATTGGACCTCACATCTTTGTCACCTAATATTAAACATAAACGTTTCTTAATCAATACATTAACAGTAAATACTACTCAATATCAATTCATTTTACATACCGAAACCGCTCTATGTGCCATCTTCCTTCTCTTTGCTTCGGCCATACTGTCAACATTTAAAATTTGTAATCAATTTAAAGTTTATCGATACTTTAATCCAATTACCATTTCAACAATAATAACAAAAGACATTGATACTTATAGAAGTACATATATCCACCCTTTGGTTGCTTTCGAGTCTCGCCTCAATTTCAAAGTCATCTGCGCCACCAACAATTTTCCAACCATTGACTCCATTTTTCCTTCATATATCAGTTTACGCAAATCAAATTATTTGTTACATACACTTTATTCAATATACAAATATAGATAACTACTCTTGTGGTAAAACGGTTTCTTCAAAAGAATTTGAATGGCCACTACAAAATGTGCCGGCACATTTATACAACATATAATTCATTTTCTACCTATAATATTTAATAAAAGTACGACATTTATATTTACCTTCAATATCACTTTCTACTGCAATCGATCCCAAATGCTTCTTTCTCCAAAACCCCAAACAACACATAAAAACCCTATTCGTGATTACTGTAATAATAAAAAACTAGGGTTTCGACAACATACTTTTCTATTCGACTGCATCAACAAACAAACAAACATTGCTTTAGAAACGCCTTCTGAAATACAGCAACAATTACGCTTCGATTTCAAAAACTCGTTCGTTCTATCGATTTTCAGAGGATTTAGATATGGCCTTTATATTTTCATCGGATATGTATTTATATTTAATCGATAAATACAAAAGTGTCGATACTTTTATGTCAGGTGTCGATACTTTCGAAAGGATAATTACCTATTTCTTTGAAAGTGTCGATAATTTATTACACGTACTTACGAAAGTATCGACACTTTCAATATATCTGGTATCGTTTACCGGTTTATCATTTTGATACCGGTTTTATCATATTTTTACCTGTTATCATTGTGGATCGATATATTTTTTAAAGTATCGACATTATAGGCGCTAAAATGCTTCTCTTTTAAATTCACAAAGTGTCGATCCTTATATAAAGTATCGACACTTTCAATATATCCAGTAACGTTTTACCGGTTTTATCATTTTGATACCGGTTTTATCATATTTTTACCTGGTATATCGTTTTGGATCGATACATTTTTTTAAAAGTATCGACATTTTGTAGGATTTAAAACTGTTTCTCTTTTAAATTCACGAAGTGTCGATCCTTATATTAAAGTACCGACACTTTAAATGTATCTGGTAGCGCTTTACCGGTTTTATCATTTCAATACCGGTTTTGTCATAGTTTTACATGTTATATCGTTTTGGATCGACACATTTTTAATTTGGATCGACACGAACGGACAAGTTAAGTTTGCCGGTTGCATAATTTTTTAATCTTTCTTCATGACTTAGACCTACTACATTATTATTAGTCAACATTTCCGATAGCGCTAAACCGAATTTGTTAAATATCTTTTAATGTATCCGGTAACACCGTATATTAACCGTATATTAACCTGCCTTTAATGAGACAATCTCAAATTTATATGAAAAAGAAAAACAGGGTTTCCAACACTCACGTAGTTATGTCCCAAACAAAGGAAGAAAATAAATTAATAATTATTTTGAAGGTGATAGGCTTAGGTTTTTGATTGGTTGCTAAAATTTCATTTATTCATTCATTAAAATAATAATATTGTACTAAATTTATAAACATCTTTCCCAAAATCAACAAACAGTGTATTGGATCAGAAAACAGTATTATTGCTAAAATGTGTAATATGGGTCTTAGTCCACATGCGATCATCAATCACTCTTTTTGTCTTTCATTCATTAGATCAATTTTGATTTTAATCTATAGTCATAATAATTACACTACGATAAAAAATTATTTATTGACAATTAGTATACATCATGTAATCGTAATAGTTTAAACTCGAATTTTTTAAGAATAATAATATATTTTTTATCATTGTAAAAAGGGTATTTAAGAGTCGTGAAATGACATTGAAAGAATGACATAGTTGAAGAGGATGATGACCCCATGGCATTGCGTATTAAGACATGCACATTATGGTCCACAATATTAGCTAAAAAAGAAACACATTTCTTAAAGCCCACTTGTCATAAGGGAGGGAGCCGGATTAAATATTAATAGGGGCCGAAATATTAGATTATTTAAGAAAAATATAAAGATTTATTAGATATTTAAACTTGAAATTCAGCATGAACCAAGCAACCTTAGTGATTAAGAGATTATTGTTTTCCTTAAGGTCTCAAGCTCAAGCACGTATGTAGGGGTATGAGTGTTTATTGTCAAATAGTTGAAAGTCTTTGTACATATATTACCGTGTATTCACTCTAAATTAAAAAAAAAAAACTCATAACTCAAAACTCAAAAGACAACTTCTAATTTGTCTAATATTTAAACTTACAATGATTTAAATTGTAATTAAACCAAACATTTGAGAAAAGACATTCTTTAATCAACTCATACTTGATTAAATATTTAATAAAATTTATATTTTTAAATTTAAATATTATTTTTACATGAACAAAAAATACTATTAAACTAAAATTATATCGAATATATCAATTTTAACAATGGTTGGGCCTTAGGCCCTAAGGGAGCTCTGTCTTGCTTGCCATCAAACCCCAACTTGGAACTAAACATAAACCCCTTTCCATCTCTCTTCTTTGTCCGTTCGATATATAAACACGATGCGATCATATAACACAAAAACGATACGAATACATACTTGGTTTTACTTTAAAACCAAACCCTTTTTCTTTTGTAACTCCAACTATGCTTTCTCCTATGCACTTTCTTCTTCACGTCCAACATCACTATCTTTACTCACTCACATCCCCCGTTGGTGTGGTCCTTCTTACCTCTTTATATCTCTCTTATAACTTTCTTCATTCTTCATATCTTATATCTGACACTACTCTACTTCTACTTCTACTCTCCTCCTCCTCCACCTCCTCCTCCTTCTACCTTGTGCATTATTTGTGGTGGAGTTGGCCTTTCTCCCAACATGTCGAGCAGGAGGTCGAGGCAGTCGAGTGCAAGCGTTTCGAGGATTTCCGATGATCAGATCATCGAGCTCGTCTCGAAGTTACGTCAGTTCCTTCCTGAGATTCGCGATAGGAGTTCCGATAAGGTACATGATGATGATGAATTTCCCTGGTGCATGCGCCACATGGGAATAGTATATTTCAGTTAAAATAATGGTACTAGTCCTTGAAAAACTTGACCCCGGACAACAAGGGAACATATTTTCTTTAGGTTTCAGCTCCCCCTTTTGACTTGAAACAGTGCATGCCTCGACCTTATGTACATCGTTTCATAATATGAGCCGACGTATAATTTCACATCAGAAGTTCATATTTGAAAAGTTATGTTAAAAATTTAGAGATACGAAACTATAACCGTAGCGTCACCTTGCAGGTATCGGCGTCCAAGGTTTTACAAGAGACATGCAATTACATCAGAAGCTTGCACAGGGAGGTGGGCGACCTAAGTGAGCGGCTGTCGCAGTTGTTAGCCACCGTTGATGCGGATAGCGCCGAGGCTGCTATAATTAGGAGTTTAATCAAGTAATAATATATATATAAACCAATGTTGTTATTAATTTTTCTGCCTTTGTAGTACTTATTATTACTGGGTTTTGGTCACTAGATTAAACAAATTAAAATTAGAATATATATATATATAGTTTAAGATGCTTCCCCCATGTGGCAAAGGTTTGCAATCTAATTACCTAATTTGCATAATAAAAGGGCTTGCACTAGCTAAAGCCCTTTAATTTCAATGGCAATATACTATTACTTTCTCTTTCTCTTGCATGAGATCTATTGATGTAAGTTGATCAGGTGAGTTGGTTGTTCAGTCGGAGTTTATTTCTGATTTGAACAGAGAATTATTGGTCAAGTGACCTAAACCAATAGATTTTTGTCGGTAAGTTGGGATCAAGTGTGTTATATTTATATTTTCCCTAAAATCATCATTAGTGAGTGATTTGATGGAAGACTAATTAAGTTTTATTTCAAACCATCCATGCCTACATGTTACAAGATTTTCTTCGTTAACTATTAATTTAGACCATCAATTATTTTTTTAAGAACGATTACAAATCGAATTAAAATTTGACTCCGACAATAAATTTTGAGACAGAAAAGATGGATAAGAAAACGAATTCACTTGTACAGGTTTTGTGACCCCTCATAAGACCCCATCCAAAGTCTAGTCAGTAGGAACATGGTGGTACTATGGTCTCAGAAACATGTTCATCTTTTAGTAAACAACTAAACGTGATTTGAACCGAAGGACAAAGATATCGATGGACAAACTTCACCATATGATATCAACTTAAGCAAATCCTGCAGTAAATATTTAAACTATGTGTATATACATGAATAACAAAATGGTAAGTTTATATGAATCTGGATGAAATTTAAGGCCAACACAATAAATGCAGCTGTAAGAAATAATAGTCATGTCTTAATCAAGTGCAATATCTATGAATAATTTATCTTGATGAATCATGCTTACCCTAGCATGAACAAACTCATGCAATATATATATATATATATATAATATATATATATATATATATATATATGGATAAACAGCATGTTTAGTACTTAAACTATCAGTTTTATTTTGTTTTAGTATTTAAACTTCCATTTGTTTCAAAATCATACATAATATTTTTTTTTATTTTAGTATCCCGCCGTTAAAAACTTAATGGAACTATTGTACATGAAATTTTTATGGGTAAATTATATCATTCATCACTTTATCTTCTCACTCCTATTTAGGTCATTAAAGTTTAAAATTTTCAATTTAACTACTCAACTTTCAAATTGCTCATGTTTTAATCACTCTAATTTATTTTATTAATATTTTTGTGACATGAAATCTTTATTATTACTTTTTTAATATATAATTAAAATAAAAAAATAAATTTAAAAGTTAGAGTGATTAAATTTGTAGTAATTTGAAAGTTATGTAATTAAATTAAAAAAAATAAACTTTGGTAACCAAAATAGGAGTGAGAAGATAGTTGAGTGAGGAATGGTGTAAATTATCCATTAAAAAAGTGTCATGTTTTAACTGCTAAGTTTTTAACATGAGGTACCAAAACGAAATAAAAAATAAACGTTAGGTATTTTGAAATAAATGAAAATTTTAGGTACTAAAATGAAACAAAATTAATAGTTTAGGTACTAAACATGTAATTTACCCTATATATATATTTACGCATCAATAGCATGTATGCCCATTTAATTTTTAATTTTTTTAATTTAGCTCTTAATCATGTTAGTTCATTATTAACATTTATATATAATTTATTTATTGTTATTGATGTTACTAACATCCTCTTCTATGTTTCATTTGTGTCTCATTTTTAAATAAAGTATAAATTTTTGGAAGTTGTAAAGATACTTTAATTTTTTTTTCATATAATTGATTTTCGAATTTGACTTTGATTCTAATATTAAACGTAAATCAGATTTATGAATATTGCATTGTACATTTCCTAAACAACCGATAATAACTTCATCCTTCAACTTAATTTTTCAAGATCAAATATTTTAGTGCCATCTACCTATGGTTTCGACATGAGGCATGTATGTGGATGAAAGTTTTTAGTTTTAGACGTGATAGTACTCATTTTTAGTAATTTTTATCGGAAAAAGTTGGTAATTGAGTAGGTCATGCATTAAATATATATAATATATTATATATGACTCTATTCCAATATATATATATATATAGATATATTATTCGTTAATAATTATTTTTATATAGGTTTAAATATGTATGTATGTTATATATATATATATATATATATATATATATATATATATATTTGTGTTGTGTTTCATGTTATGTTTTTTATGTTATATCTAATTATCATGTGTTTATTGATCTTGTATTTTGTATAATTTACAATAATATTTTTATTGTTGAGTTTAAATTTATTTACTTAAGAATTTGATTATTTTATTTCATTTATATTAATAATTAATATAAATATTGTTCATAGCTTAATCAATATTTTCGAAGCGTCAAGGAAGTCTATATTATAATATATATATAACTTTATAGAAATTACATTGATTTGGTCAAGTAATAAACTAAGCATTGCCTATTCAACTTATTTCATTTTGTTTAATCATGGGTGTTGGAAACATTTATTTAGATGTACAGACTTCCTTTTCCTACTTTTTTTTTTATCGGAAAATAGCTGGTAAATTTTTCAACTCATCAATTGATCTCAGTAATAAAAGATAATATTTTTTAGAGGTTCTGAGTTCAAGCAGTTACGTTCAGAAACGGATGCATGATTTCATGCTATGGGATGAACTTATAAAATTTTAAATATGAAATAACTTATAAATTTTAGGAGGGCGAAAACATATTTTCATTAAAAATACAAAGAAAATATCTAAAATATATAAGAATTTGAATTTTTTGAGAGGGAAACCGCCCTCACCCGCCCCCTCTAGGTCCATCATTGGTTGCATTTGCAGGGTGTGTATATTATCAATTGATTAAAAAGGTTCTGAACATATACGATCTAATCATCCTAAACTATTCAAAAAAATTAATAATTTATAGAATAAATACTAAATCATAATCACCTTAGGTTAATAAAAAATGATAATTAAGTAGACCAAGCATTAATTATCTATATAATTCATGATTTATATACCGAAATATTACTTTAAAAGTTTGAATTATAACAAGATTTTAATCACTAATCCCATTTAGAAAGTAAATTATATCTATTAGCTTTAAGAATTTAGCTACAAGGATTTAACTTCAACAATATACATATATTTATTTATTTATTTATTATATGTAAGGTTTAAATACACGGACCCTAAATCCTTAAATTAAAGGATAATACAAAATTTTTTAAAATGTAATTAAAATATGTAAAACTAAAAAATTAATTAAGAATGATTTATAATAATGGGAAACAATGTTTTTCATTTTAGAATATTTTATTACATGAAGAGAAAAAAAAAGGGAAAGAAAAGCAAATCTATTTGTTTGAAATGCACGCGGCCATAATGAGAGTGTGAGTTTGTAGCCATCCAGAAAGATCAACGGGTAGTGTTTAACTGTTTATGTTGGTTAGTTTATCATGCTTAAGCTTTTCTAATCATCTTTTCATCATCAACAACAACAGGTATGTACAGATTTCACAATTTTTATAAAGCTTCAATCTTTTCCTTCTTTCTTTCAAGTTTTCCTTCAAGTTTCCTTCTTTTTCATGCAAATTCACTGATACCCAGTTCCTCTTTTCAGCTTATTTGATCAGTTTTAATATGTTAGTATTCCTTTTCTACTGTCCGGCTTTTCAATAAATTCAAGAATGTATGCTTAATTATCAGTTTCAGGCTTCTTGTTCGTTGGAAATTGAGGGCCTTTGTTTGATATTTGGTGATCAAATTTTGCTTCTTTCACTCATTATTGACCCCATTGTTGATAGTCATTTCTTTTCTTCTTAATTCAATTACATACATATATACATACATACATGCATGCATGCATTTAGTTAGGCATTCTTTAATGTAAGTTGAACCTTTTTTTGCACTTTAGCCAAAAGGCTTGATAATCTTGCTTCAAGCTTACATTATTTGACTTGCCTACATTGAAAGCCAATGTAAAGTTTTCGCTTTGGAGGATTCTATGGGCTATGGCTGTCCCCATAGCTCATCCACTTGCTTGGGATTAAAGATTTTTTACTCAAGTTGGTAAAATTGCTTTGGCATTTTAATGATGGAAAGTTAGGTTAATCAATGCTTGAAAATCAGCAACCATATTGGTATTTTTGTTTTGATTTTAGAAGATTCCATGAATTTTTGGGTTTCATTTTGAACCTATGGGACGATAGATGAGAGCTATGGAGTTGGGACCACTGTGGACTATTTACTTCAGAGCCATGCATAAGAATCACTTCCTCAAGATGATAATGACTATGTTATCGCTTTCTGACATTGCCCTTAGCCATATTTCTAAAAGAAGTACCTTTTTCGTCGTAATTGCAATGCTTTCGGCATTATAGTTTTGAATGAACAAATACGATTTCTACATTATCAAGCTACCTTCTATGTTTCTTCTAAAACTTTATTTATGTTGGGAAATAAACGAATACGAGTAATTTCCCTATAACTAGATTAGTGAGAATGCGAAATAAAAGCGAAAAAATAATATCCAAAATTGATAACGAAATTCAGCCAATTATGCCTACGTCTCCGCACTGCTGCAGATATTTTATTAAGAGAGAAAATTTACAGGTGTTTACAAAACACTCACTACTCACAAGAAATCTCTCTAGTATTGCGAGAAAGAAATGATTTGGGATGATTTTGAAGCTAAATGGGCTAGGGTATTTATAGTTGAAGCTTAAGGACTAATCTTGTAAATACCCTAAAGTGTATAGTGGCTAAAATGTAATTAACCCATTTTTAATTTCAATAAAATATTGGGGCACCGAATTCGGTGCCCCCTTTGTTGAAAATCATGCATTTGGGCGGTGTCCCAATTTCCTCCCATTTCTGGTGCCCCTCATTTCCTCCCTTTGTTGACTTTTCTTCAACAAACTCCCACTTAAAGACTGATTTTAATCTGTCTTCACACCTCGATCAATGCATCAGCTTCTCTAGTATTGTTACTCTAGCATGCCAA